GCTAAAACCACAGTTTCGCGCACATTCTAAGCACGAACCAAACAGGGCAACCTATGCGCCCGCACCCTGATAATTGCCAATACTACTTTGGTGGGCTCCTTATTATAAGTATACTAGAATGCGCCCCAAAACCCTATTCTAATTATTAAGGCCCCTGTAGAAGTGAGAATATTCAGCCTTGGGCCCGTACACAACTACAATCGATGATCACCGATGATATACGCAATATCGAGATTTCCACAAACTGCAAGAGCTATCAGAAACCCAATTCCCAACATTGTGTTTCCAAAATGTAAGACAGCACAGCACCTAGTCCACAAGAGATTCCAAACTGTTAGGGCGCACAGTTTTTTAAACCAGTGGAGGGCGGGAGTTTTTGGACTTGTTGGACAGTTCAACCAGTAGGAGTTTTTGAGAATTTTCGATTGTTGCACAATTAGCGCAAGAGATGTGTCCAGACTTATGCAAACGACACAAGTCCGAGCGGGATTACTTGGGAATTTGTGGAAGCTTCATTGCCGGAGGCTGATACACTTCTGGCGCCAGCATAGTATCCGTAATGCTTTGATGTAGGTCTTGAGAGGCGTTCCATATGCATACACACATATACACATCTTGAGACGAATATTTGGAAGCATAAAGTGTGTGCATACGCGTATGCATAGATAGTTAATAGACAGATAAATAGATAGGTCGATAGATAGATAGATAGATCGGTCGATTGACAGATAGATCACCATTGTGACGTGCGTCTGCACCTGCCCTCCTCTAGAAGTACCCGGAGACAGACTTTAGCCGCTACAGTTAGGTCCCATGGCCCGTCTTGACATTGAGATGAGCTCTTACCAGGACTGGGCAAATGTATTCGACCTTTTCTTGGTGGTTTTGGGTCTGGTCGATCTTGCAGACACTCAACTGAACCAAAGCTCACCTATTGGACATTGGTTCCATTTTCTCCGATGAATACATTGACACATGCAACAATTTGTTGATGAGAGCTTCCCGATTAATTCAGGTTTACCCACCTTTCAGTGGAGATGGCGCATCTGACATCGCCTTGCTCAAGGTGATGCGCGCCCTCAAATCTCTTCGTGCGCTTCGGATTGTGCGCAGCTCTGCTAGTTGCTAGACTTGGCGACTTCATGTGCCTCTTTATGTATTTGCTCCTGCATGTCGCACCGGCTTTTTCTCACATCTCTCTTGCAATCTTGCGGACTGAACAGAGTAGGGTTGTCGCGTAAAGCCATTCGCAAGGTTCGGGCCCAGTTCGCAGGGATGTGACCAAAGGTCCTTTGCGTCGTGATTGTCGTTGCAAGCAATGTCCAGTTTTCATCGCAACAACTTTATATCAATTTCTGGGATGTTTCGGTAGAGTCAGGATCCAGCCGCAACTCAATGTAATTTCTGGACGTTATGTATGCTAATGCAACCTCGACGTGCATCCACGAGAACCTGTTGCGACGACTCGCGCAGACTCGGCGGAGCGGCAACAGGTAGTTGTCAGCGGGCTTCGGCACTCGGAGTGTGTGTGTGTGTGTGTGTGCAGATCCTGCCAAAGCTTCCGCTGTTCGATTGAGGAAGCTTCCGATTTCTCAGTGGCCTACGAGTTTTGGTGAAGGCATGTCAATGCTTTCTGCCTTCGCTATTTTGGGCTATGGTCCTGCTCAGCATCTTGGTCTTCCAACCAACCACAGATCTCCATCGTTGTCGTCGTCCGGCCTGTCTCCGCCCAGGCATCTTTATTTTCATGGGTGCCATGATAATGGCTAATGCACTCCACGCCTTCATCACCGATCCAGCTCAAAGCTACGACGCAGCTGGCTTGCTATTGGCAGCTGTGTGCCGTACGAGGTTCTTTGTGCGAATGGTTGGCAAGTCAAGCGAATTGCTCGGAGAGCGTGGTTAGATCATTTTGCTGCAGTGAATCACTGAAGCAATCCTTTCGGCCACCCTTAACCATTGAACTAAGGATAGGGTGCAGATGTGGACGTTGTATGGCACAGCTTACCGCTCTGCATACACGATTTACGAAGTGACTTTTGCAGGCACAGTTGAAATTCTTTACAGTTCCCTAGCATTTGACACCCCTGTTTCAGGGAATTGGCCGACAAATGCTCGACCAGTCCTCAACAAGGTCAGCCAATTTTACTCTATATTTTTCGTGGTCTATGTCACCATCATCGTCTTCGCATTGATCCGAGTCGTTGAGTTGGCCCTCAGCTGCGTGCAGAAGAGTGGGCGGGCAGCGCTGCCTGTTACGCAGACTCTAAGGTCCTAGACCTTGCATGCTTACATGCACGATGACCAAGGTCCGATGGCATGGCACTTCGTGGCGGCGCATCTAAGGATCTGGCTTCGTTTTTCCTTCCCCTTCCTCTTTCCCCCTTCCGTGCAGAAGACGTTCGTGGAGTCCCTGCACTACAACAACACTACTGATCCGAGTCATAAGCGCCATCTTCCTGAAGGCGGGATTCAGTGTTTTGGCGTTGCAACTGTGGAATTAGCGATCACAAGTGGCAAAGAAAGAGGCCGTCGTGGTATCTAGAATCTAGATGCTGCACCCTTCCCATGCCTGGTCTCCCTGTGCGAACAGCGAAGTGCACAGATTTCGATGTATGATAGGATCTGCGATGGACACGGGGTTATGAATGTATAAAGAGGACACCTTGGACGCAGCTCAGAATGATGCGGAGCACCTCGTGGTTGAGAAAATGCACAAGAAGGCGGACTATGTGCGCAAATTGGAACAATTGTTCCAAGCCATCGATGCTTCTGGAAGCGGGCTCATCACGGAAGAGCGGCTGACCAAAATCTTGGGAAATCCCAAGGTCGAAGCCTCAGTCTTCAAGCATTCTGCTGTCCGTCTTGAAAAGCACTACAGACCGTTTTTTGTCGTGATGCACATGCATCCGAAATCTGTTTCATTGCTCCAGTTTGCAGGTCAACGTCTTGCATGCACTGAGACAGAAGTCGGGATACCGCATTTTTGTTTTTTGTTTACATGTTTTTGTTCTGTGTTGTTTTTCTGGTTTTGGTTGTGTTTTAGGGACGAAGGAGAGAAAGGCACGTCAGAAGAACGAAAGGAAGGACCGCAGAAAGAAATAAGGAACGGCACCAAAGAAACAGAGAAAGAAAGGAAGAACGAACGAAAGACAGAGGTAGAACGAAAGGAAGAACCGAAGGACAAAAGAACGAAAGAAAGAGGCAGGAGAAAGAAAGAAGGAAGGAAAGAAAGGCAGGAAGGACGGAAGGAAGGAAGGAAGGAAGGAAGGAAGGAAGGAAGGCAGGACGGAAGGAAGGAAGGAAGGAGGAAGGAAGGAAGGAAGGAAGGAAGGAAGGAAGGAAGGAAGGAAGGCGAGAGTCAGAAAGACAGAAGGAAATGAAGGAAGAAACGACATAACGAACGACACAAAGAAGCAAATAAATAAAGAGAGAAGGACACATAGAACGAGGAGAGAGAGAAATCCCCCGTTAAAGAGAGCTCTGCCCAGATTGTGTTCCTCGTTCAGCTTGTATTTCGGTTTGCCGTTTGCCTTGTCTGTCGGCCGTGTCTACAACACAAGTCTTTGCCTTGATGGAGAGCGCCGCATATACTTTTCGCCCTTCAACGGTTGTAAGATCATGCAGCACAGGTGCAGCAGAAATAAAGGGACAACTAGTAGCACTGCTATTCCTAGGTCTGCTCGGTAATGGACGTCGTCAGACAGAACGAAACTAGCCCGCCCCCCCCCACCAACACCCCAGAAGCAGACAAAGCAGGACCTGCGGATCAGTTGGTAGTGCGCTCGCAAAAACAAGCCAGATAGATTTTCGGGACGAGGTACCGCTGAGAGGCCTGTGGAAGCCTGAAGCCCGAAAACTCAACAAAACAAACCAAAAGAAAACACAACAAAGAACTCCCGCAGACGAGGACAGGCAGGACCAGGGGGCCATGTTCCGAAAACCACAAGAAAAGCAAATGCAAAGATTATAAAAACGACCAGACAAAATGACAACAATAAACCTCGCTCCCAGAAGTTGGCTTAGGTGGCAGCCCTCTTCCAAACCCTGGATCTGGATGTGCATGAAAGTGAAGCCTTGTTTCACCTTTTAGATGATGGGGATGGAGAAGTAACACTCGCGGAGTTTATAGATGGAGTCATGCGCTGCAAGGGCCCAGCCCGTGCTATCGATCAAGTGGCCATGCATGCAGAGCTGAAGCAATTAAGCCGAAGATTCGGCAAGATGCTCAAGCAAATGAAGCAGCAACAGGCTTTGCCTGGGAGGCCGTCCCAGCAGTCCACTGCTTCAAAAGTCCCGACTCCGACTGCATTTCCAAAGAAGCAGACCACTCTTTCGGCCTTCCTTTTCGATTCTGCCGATGCAGCCAGCCTGAGCACAAACCTAAAGAACCTCAAGGCCGCTGGGCGCACGCCTGTCTGATGTTTTTCCAGGGCTGCAAGCAGACTGGCGCCAGAGGCGCCGGCTGTGAGCGCGCCTAGCAGATGCGACCCATCGGTCCCCAACTGTAAATGCGGAACTTCGGCAGCTTCATAAGGAGTTTCATGCTGCCCTTCTTTTTGATGCGCACAGATGCCTGCAGGAAAAGCGATGAATTCTGCTTTCGGGTGGAGTCGAGCGTGCAAGAGAGGGTCCAAAAAGCTTTGTTCACGAGCCCGGAGATGAATCTGAGACAAGGGACGGCAGACTCCAGGTGTGGAGGAACGCCTTGCGCCGGACTTCTTGTCGAGACGAAGAGGTTCGCAGGATGCAAGGGCCACGATCACGATGTCTTTCAGCCTGTTTCCTCGAAGTTGCGCGAGACATGCCTGTCCTTGTTTTCTGCCAGCCTGCTTCAGGGTTGTGCAGTTTTGGTCTACTGCTTGCGCAGCTTGTAAATGCCCTGTTGGAGTCTGGCCCGAAAATTTAAATCATGGGATATCGCAGAATGCCTCTCAAGAAGCCTGGCTTGGCTTCTTTGTTTCATCTTCTGGACTTTCCTGTGAATCTGGCCTTATGAGAAGGAAGTCCTTCCCGCGGCTCTTCTTGAAAGGAAGAAGATGCTGCTAATACTGTGTACCATTAAGGCACGAGACATGTCTCAACAAGCTCTGCGGTGGGGTTCACTTCACACACAGCTTTTCATGATGGTGCTCTTTTCTCCTCCGGCGCGGCCGCTCAAAGCATGCACCGGTTGCTCAACTTCTTGCTATGTGAGTATCTAGCAGCCTGATAAGTTTTGTGGAGTGCCTACGGCCTACGGCTGACACGATGATGTACTCAATGTACTCGCACAGACGTGAGGGGCCTCTCCACACGTCAGGTGTTGGAAGAACTGCACGGAGCCGGTCGACTGCCTCATGGGCCCGGGCCATGGACGAAGTCGGGTGCGGCGAGGCGGGCACATGGACAACGTGAGGTGACTGGGGCCTTTGGGAGCCTTCGGAGCTGCTGCCCCGGATGAGGACAGGGAGAAACAGGACAAGTTTGCATAGTTCACGAAGCAAAGGTGTCTGGCCTCCTCTGACCAGAGACAAAGGGAGCGTGCGGTGCGACACCGAGCTGATCCTTCTGGCATTGTTGCAGAGCCGTTTGCCTGGCTGCCTGCCTAGGTCGTCAGAGCAGCCACAAACGGAGGGCAGAGGGCTTGGCGTGAAAATCCTGCGGCTCGAATTTCTGCTGCGCAGTCGAGTTTGCAATCAGCTGATCGATCAGCTGATGCGGATTCCGCGCGCAGGGAACCATGTACGAGCATGATTCGCGAGACGATGGGGCTCCTTGGCCGCAGTGTTGGGGGTTGTGGAAGGGGCAATGCGGGTGCGGCTCCTGCCAGGTGCTCGGAGGTGGGAGATGCGGTGGCTGACTGTGAGCGGACCTGGCTAGTGATTCCTGAACATCACTGAAATTTAGGGTTTCAATTCTAAAGGGCTGAGCTGCGGTCTTGCTGTACCTAAACCAGCGGCTCGAGGGTCCAGTCAAATTCCTGCCAGGCTCTCGGCTTACGGGGAATGGTCTGTTTGCACCACATCCTGTGGAAGCGGACTTCGCACAAGGCAAGACAGATTCTTGTAGCCCCACCTGACGTGTTGCCGTCTTGTGATGTTTTGTGGCAGGTCTCGGAGCATCCAGGTCCAGGCCAGCGGAGGTGGCCAGCCGGAAGCTGAGCAGCGATGGCGTGCGGCGAGCGAGAAGCGCGCGGAGAGCGTTAACCACGGAGATAAGCGAAGTCAAAGAAGTCAAGACAGACTCGTCGGGTCCTCTCCGAGGCCTTGCCAGGGCCCACTTGCACTGCTGGAGCCCTGCAACCTGGGCCCCTGCCCTTGTCGAAGCCTCGGTGATTGGCCGTCGGTGATGTCGGTTTGTCTTTGAACTCAGAGTCTTGGATTCTTGAGGCGAAGTGACGGACGCAGCCTTTTCTCAATGGAACCAGCCTCAGCTTTGAGAGCTTAAACTCGTTGTGAGACGTTTTCTCTGAGTTCCTCCACACACCATCATGTCACCATGTCCCAGGGAAGAGTGGAGCAGTTGCAACGGCGGCATGCACATCAGGAAGCGGAAGGCTGGCCGGCTGCCGGGAAGTGCTAAGCATCGTTAGGTCAAGATCGCTCCGGATTGATCCTCACATTTTCTTGTCCAAGTCTTCTTTCATTTCAGAAACTCGTGCGATGACCTGCGAGCTTCATATGCCAAGTGCTCCATGCATTAGTCTCGCTCGCGAGCTTGAACCACCAAGGGCTTCTTAATTCAAGACCCGAGGTGCAGCAGCCAGCTTCCTGTGGTGGAGATCCTGCTCTAGGCGCAGCTGCATATTCCGGACAAAGAATAGGGTGCCAGATTCATGGGCGATAAAGCCACATACGGGGCGTGCGAAGCCACAGCAGTGATCTTGACAGGCTCGTTGACTGAGATCCGAAACTGCGGTGGCACGATTGATTGCGAGGTGGGCCGAACCGAGATGTTGTGGTTGCTCCGATGCCAACTCCCCATGTCCAGGTGTCTCCCTGGGCTTCCTGGGACGAGTGTGACAAGAGCCCTGGAGCTCGGGAGAGAAGGAGACATACAGTAATCGGGCAGATCACATGGAAGGCTGTGTGTGAGAGAGCACACATCGCTACAGCGAGGGATCAGTTTCCATGATATGGCGCAACTCCAGCTGAGTCATTGTTTTTGAGCGTGTTTGTTCTGGTCGGTTGATTTGTATATGCCGTGTTCGTGTATCGCCGAGCAATGTCGTTCTCGTCTGTAGGCGACTGCCACTGCTTCTTTTGTGCAGTGTACTCTAGCTGATTCGGGCATGCCATGATCGAGCGAGCCGTATCGCCAAGCATTGCGTGTTTTGGATCGTGTTGCTGCCTGCTCTTGTTTCGAGACGAATGCTTGTAGTCTACCTTGTTTATACTATGCAACATGACGCTGGGTGCACAGTTCGGTGTGCACGGCCGCGAGGGCCGGAAGAAACGTAGCTGAGCAGCACGCAGTCTTGCAATCAGGCCCAAGCAGCTTGCCCCACCTGCTGGATGCCAATTTGTTGGTGACGTCTTAGTATTCGTTGAGACTGCCATGTATGTAGGATTACATATCAGTCGTCACTACTTTTAGGATCACATATCAGCGTGCCGGAACTCTTACTAGTCATTGGATATGAGTCGTCCTCTCGCCTCGGCGCATGGAATATCATTCGTACTCTTGTGGCCCAGGCTGCGGAGGTGGCCAGCAGGAGCGGAACCGCCAGGTGACCCAGAACCCTCAAAACGGTGGAAAGCCGCCGGGCGCTCAAAACCCCGCACCTGCAACGATGCAGCAGTAGTAAGCATTGCTACAGGAAGCAGAATAGCAGCTGATACGCAAACAGCGGCCTGGTTACTCCTTCGAATGCCAATAGCAGCATGGAGAGGAATACTCGCGGCCAAGGTAGCTAAGGGCTGGATGCAATTGGACACAGAGACAGAGAGACAGAAAGAGAGAGAGAGAGAGAGATTATTCAACAGCTGCTGTCTATGTAGTATGGCCGAAACGGAACATCAGACATTGCATCGAAGGGGGAGCATGTCCATGAGAGCATACATACTTCCATCGTCGTTATACTTTATGACTTTAGTCACTGGGGGTATTGTGCTCGCTCCTCACACCCCTGCGCCTGCATTAACAACATGCGGGTGGGCCTGTGGCCCGGGGGTCTTGACCGACCCTCATGCCCGGGAGACAGAGAGAGAGAGAGAGAGAGAGAGAGAAAACGTTGGGTGGGCCTGGTGCCCGGGGACGCTGACCCGTCCCCACGCCCGGGAGAGAGAGAGAGAGAGAGAGAGACAGAGAGAGAGAGAGAAAGCGCTGTCCCCTCTCCCTCAACCCTTGAGAAAGAAAGAGAGAGAAAGCCATAAGGTGGGCGGGCCAATGGCCTGAGGGTCGAGCGATCGACCCCTACGCCCCGCAGAAAGAAAAGAAAGAAAGAAAGATATGGCTTTCATGATGTGCCCAAAGCCTGCTACTAGAGCTGCTACCACCAGGACCAGGATGGGGAATGTCAGTTCGCGAACCTGCGGTGCTTGCAGCAGTTTGAGCCAGCAATCTAGCGCAAGGCAACAGCTAGTGCGCTAGGCAGCTGCTAGTGACTGCTAGTGATCATCCCCTCTGCTGCAAGCTCGGCGGATACTAAGCTTCCAAATGCTGATGCTGCTGCCGCTGCTATTGTAGGGCTTGGGACAGGAGCAGGATCCGTGAACCTGCATTGAGCTGCAGGTGCCTCAAAGACCTGGTGGAGCCCGGGCCCACAGGTCCCGAGTGCAGAAGCTTCCGAACTTGAGCCGTCCCGAGGACGCAGGGCTGCAACGAATCTCCCTGCACCGGCCACAGAAGCTGCAGCGATTGCGAGCAACTGTAACCAGCTGCAACGTGTGGAAAGGTCAAACTACAAGCTGCGAAGTTTCAGACTGGTCGTGGCCTTGTTTTTGCAGTTGTATTGTAAGGGCTGCACAGAGGGCTAAGTCTAAGCCAGGCGTGATTTTGGTCTTTTGACATGAGGTCCGCCTGGGGCGAGTGCAGCAACAGTTGCGGCAGCGGCGTCCATGCTAGGCTCTTGGTTCCACGGGGAGCTCCGAGATGCCGCGATTGGCAGGTGTTTGGTCGGATCATTTTCTATTGAAGAATGGTCTCAGGAACGGAGCCGCACTTTCACCCATTTGGCACAGGTGGGGAACCTATGTGTGCAAATTGGTTTCCTCCTCTCCCGCAGATTCCTAGATCCATCTTACACACTTCGAAAGCACTTCCGCACCACAGCCGCTAGTAGGCGGAAAATACCAGGAGAACACAGCAGACATAGAGCTTCACAGCCTTCTCCATTCTGAGCTGTTCAGGAGGGCGGCTCTGGCCCGGGCCTCGTGTCTATGGGGCCCGAAGTGAGGGCTCGAGGATGCGAGGCATGTCTTTATGCACTTCACCGAAGGCTGCGACATGCCGATGGCAGAAATAAAGCCCTGCAGCGACCAGTTTGGAACCCTCGAGGTGGATGGCGTCTTGTCGCACAGATGAACTCATTGACATTGGATACATGGGTGTTTTTCTTCTGAATTTGAGGGTGCTGATCCTATATTTATACTCAGACTCAGATTGCCAACGACGCAGGCGCGTCGTTTGGAACTGTGTCCAATGTCCGACTGCGGCTGTGCTCGGAGCCTCAACTTCGCTTGGCTGGCTCACTGCACTTGCCACGCAGCCCTTCTTTACCCGAGGTCTGGCGTGACTGGTCGGAGTGGAGTGCTTGCACTTGCGAGTGTGGCGGAGGTGCACGCACTGCTTACGGCATCGGGGTGTGAACCGGAAGCTGCTGGCGAGGTCAGAAGACCCGAAATCGGCACATCGCGCGCGCCCCGCAGCCGGGCTGCACGCCCGAAGCTTAGAGCGAGAGTCACTTGGGACATCTTGGGACCACGCCTTGAGACGGCCCCAAGTCGGCCCGGCCTTGCAGTCGAGGCCGTGCGAGCCCTTCGACAAGCAGCAAATCGAGCCCTGCAACACCCAGCGACTGAGACTGATGTGAGAAACTGATGTAGCGGCTGTGGTGTCGGACTCGCTCTGTTTGTGGCGAGACATTCAGCACGCCCGCCCTGCAGGAAGTGCGAGGAAGACGAGTGCGTGGATGCCCTATGGTCTCCCTGGCAGGACTTTGATGAAGCAGCTTGAGTTGTCTTCGGGGTTGCTCTTTTGCACGGGCACGTGCGACGTGACGATGCTGGCTTCGTTCAGGACTGGGAGCCATGCTCCATCTCATGCAGAGGCTGGCTGCGAATTGCGTGAGGGGATTATGAGTCGAACTTGGGAGCAACGAAGGATGCAGGTCTCGAAGCCCGGCTGCAATTCTGAAAGTTTCCAGAAGTTTGACCAACGGAAGGTGGGATCACGTGGCGCTCGCGTAAGATCGTCCGAAACGCCAACGAGTCTGCGCCACAGACTTGTCTGTTCTTGAGACAATCCCAGATCAGACCTGCGACCCGCAAGGCTCCCTTAGCTCGGCAAAGAGCTTTCAGAAAAGCTGGAGAGTCCCATGCCATGCCGTTATAAGTCATGATTATTAAGCTTCATACAAAAAACACCCCATGTTCCAAACAAATCTCTCAAGCCCTCCTTGATCTCGCGTATCGCTCTCAGCTGCGGCCGGCCCGTGGCCGGCGCCTCTCAGCAGCATGCCAGCTGCAACGAAGGCCCCAGCCTCTTCGGGCCTCGGCTTTCCGGGAATTCAGTGGGCTGTGCGTCGGTGGTTAAGTCGATGGATCACGTGAGGGAAGATTGAGGACTGGACGTCAGACGTAGGAGCCTTGTCCAAAAAGTGTTGGATTGATGCCACTTGTTTGGACCCGCGCTCCCAGTGCTTTTTGATTGAGTGCTATTCCTGGTATATCCCAAGAAGCATGTTCTTGTTTCTCAACGATTCTGATTGTTCACACGAGCCTTGCCCAATGTCAAGACGTTGGGTCGAGAGAAATCCGGAAGCATCCTTCTGCGACAAGGATTGTCTGCTGCAAAACCCTGCTGCTATCATTGATGAAGCACAAGCTATGTCTGTGCTTCCGTTGATGGGGTGGGCATATGGCGTGATGGCATGTCCCGGTCCAAACGAGCACATCCTCCACCCATGTCTTCGAAGGTGCAGTGATGCAAATGCTGCTTTGCAAAGACCACGGGAACAGTCAGGTTTCTTTTTGTCGGCTTGGCTTGTCACTCCCCCGCTCCGGTCACATATGGTCCCGCGGTCTTCTGATTCTTACACTTGCGTCCTTCCTTTGGTCGTCCGTGAGCTTCGGTCTTTGGTGATCTGTTCACGGGTCCCAAAGGAGGACATTGCCAAGTTACTTCCCCTATAGCTTGCCACAGCAACCACAGTAGAGGTAGAGGCTTTCGCTTGAGTTGGATGTGTGTGGTGGGGTAGAACCGCGCGCTTGTTTGTACTTCAAGGTTCATGACAAAGCATGTCTTTAGCATTGTCCTGGTGGATCCCGACGTTGAGGATTGTGTGCTGTTGGAGCTGCCAAATGTGGTCCGGGAGGTTTGCCTTCAACATTCGGTGGTCGTTACGTGGAATACCTATCCTAGAGTGGAGTGCTTGTGTGCTGACGTTTTCGGGCCTCGGCTGAAGAACGGCAGAAGAGGCAGTGCTGGCAGTCCTCAAGTCCAGTTTCAAAAAGAGGGTTGAACTCAACCAATGCGAGGGCTGGGGACACGGCAACGAGCGCATAATGTGCTTGAATCCGAATCGCGGATTCCAGGTGTGCCCTGCAAGCCCAGTGTGGACTGTGAGTTTGCTGAATGGTTGGCCGCCCCCCAAGCACTGTGAGAGGCGAGTCTGAGTAAACATCGGGTTGAGACTCAATGTTCGTGCAGACCTGCCGCAGCTCAAGTTCCAAGGCTTGGAGTGCCTGCACGCAGGAGTGCGATGGTGTCAAGCGGAGGTACCCAAGTGCTGTGGGCCTTTCAGGTTTCTCCTGAAGTCAAGTCAATTGAGACCAGGTCTCGCCAGATCGCTGTACAAGGAGCAGGACAGGCTTGAGAGCACGATGAACTTTGAGCGCAAGTGTCAACAACACCGTAGTACTACACTGCCTTGAGTGTTAGAGGGAGAAGCAACCGTGGAAAACAATCGAAGTTGCTGATTCGTTTGCGGGCAATGTGTGACTCACGCCATGGGTGAGGAGATGGAGCATACTGCCTCGGCGCGACGCACCAGTGTCTGACTCAAATAGCTGGAACGCAGATCATGCGAGCTGTGCGGACGGATTCTTCCGATGCTTCATCCAGGACTTATCCCTGCTCCACAGACAAGGGGCTTCTGGAGTTCAATAGCCCTGCTCTGCGACCTTGCCGAACAAATCGGAGTTGTTTCACAGGCTTGCTTATTCCAGTTCCAGGTACTTGCATCTGGACAACCTTGAGTACAAGAACGTCCAGCCGGGCCAGGTGACTGCTTTGACTCCTTCAACCTTGGCTTGGGTGTGCGCACTTCGGACATTTTGCACTGAGGCAGAGCTGAAATTCACGGGCGTCACCAAGATGCCAGGCCAAGGAGCATCTGGGGCAGTGGTGCGGCATTCTCCGGTCTTCTGGAGGCGACGGAGACTCTGTGAATCTGGTTGTCACAGCACTGAGCCGGTCCGAGCAGTTGAGCCACTGCCTCGCATGACTTCGTGTAACCAAGCTTTTAGGTGCGCCCGCACCTGATTAAGCGACTGGCTGAGGTGATGAATCGACGGGCTTGTATGGGCATTCTGGCCGCATTGGTTTTGAAGCAGGCTGGCACCTCAGCATGCTGGAGTGCTACTGCCGGCCGACCGACTAACCGACCGACCGACGACACCCATTCACACGATGGGTGGCCGGCGGGCCGAAGGCCTGAGGGTCGCTAGACGACCCCTGGGCCCGGCAGAAAGAAAGACCGAGACAGACCGAGAAAGACACAGAGACAGAGGGCGAGGTTGACGCTTGGTTTCTGTGAAGGGGAGAACCCTGCGACACAAAGTGATGTACAGAGTGAGGCGATGGATGGTGTACCTTCATGTGTGTGGCTGCTTCTGTTGTTTTTACAGTCGGGTGACATAGTGCACAGTACAACGCCTCGGTCGCGACCTGTCTTTTAACGACGTGGCAGCCTCCTAGACAGTAGTCGTTACTCTACCTTTTCCAGTTTCGGTTTGCACTTTTGTCATGGACGAGGAAAGCTGTCATGTCGTATGCACCTGAATGCACCGCGTGAAGCGGGGGTCAGTCCCACAATACTCTCGTAGGGCCCTGCACATGTTCAGTCTAGCTGCGCACTCTTTGCTGCTTTTGCTTGACCACGACTCCTGTGACCGGGGGACGCTCTCGCAAACATGCAGTACCAATCCTGCAAAAAGAACGACTGAGCAGCTCCTGGGGACTTTTGGAGAGATGGTTGTTTTTCTTTATAGTTTGGGGAACCTTTGAGCGTGGGGAGCCTCAGTTGAACTGTTCATGTTCCTGTTCAAGCCTGTTCATGTATGGCGGCACGACAGTCTCCCAAAAAAGTGTTTGGTGGTTGTTGGAGGTCTGTTAGATGGGTCCAGTTTGTTCTGAAAGTCGGCGGAGATGAAACTTAGGTGTCCCAAAGCTGTAGGTGCATGTTTCCAGAAGCCACCGGGGGGACTCCCATGCAGGTTTTCTCACTTCTATGGTACTCCTAGATAGCTTCGGTACGTGGGGGATACTGGTGCACACTGTTCACACCCTGGCTGGGGGTTTCGCACACCCCCAATGCCCCGAACATGGGAGGGTGAGCGCCTGCTCTTCCTTTGGCTGTCTGAAGAAGGGATAGAGACAGAACCCCCAACCTTGCAACTATTCCTTCTTATCGGCGCGAGGTCTTTTTCTGGGTTGTCACGTCCTCCCATCAATCCCCTACACAGGGGTGATCCAATTGGCTCGGGGGACCTCGACAATCCCCTGTGCCCCGAAGTGAAGTGAGACAGAGATAGACAGAGAGAGACAGTTGCACCGAGCCTCCTGGGGCAAAACAAGAAGTGGCTGGTCAAAGACCTGCTTTTTCTGAAGGCTCCGAAATTGAGGTGACGTTCATCGTGATGAGGTGCGCCGCTCGCTGTCCACGCTAGTGTGTTGGCCTGCAAGTCCAGAGTGCGGCATTGTTCCAGGCAGCAAGACCAGCGAGAGGTCCAAGCCAAGATGCTGCTGATCAAGCGAGCTTCTCAGCACTACCGCTTTCCCACAGCATTCATGTGCACAGAGTCCGGGGTGAGGGGTCATCCGATTGTGCAGACGCGAGGGCTGCTACTGTTCATGTAAGACTTCTTATGAGAGGGCGGGTGGCGACGGCATGCCAAATTATGCGTCGTCCCTGTATCATGTGCATGCTCGCTTGCGCCCGAGATTCTTTGACGTCGCAGATGGCGCCATATTGGAGGCAAGTCATACTCGTAAGTCAAAGCCAGTTCTTTGGTTGCCACGGGCATTTGGAAAGCCTTGTTAAAATTTGGCACCAAGGCTCCGGAAGGCAACGAAGCCTTCTTGAGCTACGAATCTGTGTCATGGGCTTAAGCTTGAGCTTGCAAATTTTCAAGCCACCCAAGCCTCAAACTGCCCGATCTCCTGTGCCCATAAACCGAGGCTGAAATCGGACACAAGTGTGGATGGCACGCTGGTGGTCACATCCCAGATGCCGGGAGTGAAGCCACCAAAGGAGGGGAAGGGTCCGACTGGGGCTGCAGTGTGGTTCGGCGGCAGTGGTGTGCGGGAGGACCCGATGAGTGCAAGCCCTCAACAAGAGATGCATGCAGCCGCAATTCTGTGGAAGGCCGCATGAATGTGCCAATAAAGGATCTGAATCACCGTTTCCTCGTGTGGCAGAAGCCTCAAAAGCTTTTGTGTTGTCCAGGGCACCAGCCGTGCCACCATCAAATTCAAGACACAACCCGGCTTCAGCGATGCACTCGGGAGTTTTCCGATCAAGCTCGTAAATGTTTGATGCTATTCCGTAGGTAGACAAGGCACTGCAGCAACGCGAGGCAAGAGTCTCGTCTTTGCAGCCAAAGCTTGCTGGAGGGGCGATTGCCTGCCACCGAGCAACACTGTTGGATTCTGCTTCGGAAGCAACGCCAGTCGCAATGGTTCTCCATATCCTTACGTGCTTCCCGCGTTCCATATATTTGAGGCTTGGTAAGCGCTTGCGGACGTGGCGAGGATGCGGTCGATTGCGTCAGGAAGCTGGTGTTGTAATTATTGAACCGAAGCCTGTCGCCATCCCGTACTGTAAGGTCATGGAACCTTGGCAGTCATGGGCACCTTGCTCCGTCAGTTGTGGCCGCGGGCAGCGAGCCGGGTCCAGAGCAGGGACTAAGTCGTCCAGCGACAGCGCTGCTTGGCTAGCAGCAGAGAATGAGTCTCTGCAAGGTGCGGACGCGGAAAGTGAGGACCATGAATTCTCACGGCGGACGCCCTTGTTGCCACCTGAGATCGGCGCTGCGGAGTGCTTCATGCGTGATGCCACAGCGATCTGTCACGGCAAGGAAACATAATCGATTCCTGCATGCTTGCATTTTGGGAAGGTCACGTTGACTTGTCTGCCACGCTCTTGGTGCACGTCCTCGGAGAAGTAGGCTGCAAGTCTGGGGCAGACACTCGAGGCAACAGAAGGCTGCGAGTTGAACTCCTGCGCGGAGGCCGTCTCGGACCACGCTTGCGAGAGAGCCAAACGGGCCGCAAGTGGGTTGGGGTTGACGAACTCTGTGGGGAATGGTTTTTCATGGACTTATCACTGGACTCCTCACTGGGGTGCACAGATGCAGTGAAACACGGTCTCGAGCAAACACAACAACGAAAGCAGCGTCGAACAATCGAAAAGCACGCGGAAGATGGCCAGCAGCTGTGCTGGGACATGCGCACTCAGACGCAGATATTAGGCAGCTATGTTTGTGGACAAAAGGTCAACATAGCCTATCTATCGACCTGTCTAGCTTAGCCCTCTGTCCATGTGACTAGCATCTATTTAACCGTGCGTCTCTCTCGCTCGCTACTCTTCTCTCAATCTTACCAGATTGCAAGCAGCCATGCAGCATGCTCGTTCGTGTGTGTATGAGAGATAAGTCACAGCTGTCACAGGGCATCCGTTTAGGCACAGGGCATGTGTCGAATTTACGATGGCCCGTGATGTTGTGTTCCTGTGACTGCGCTCGGAGCCTGTGTTCAGGCATGCCAGCCGCAAGACTGCAAATGGTCGGAGTGGTCTGTGTGGAGCTCAAATGCTGAATTCATTCAGCCATTCAGCTTAGCCCTGTGAGCCATTCCTGCCTGAGACCTCAGCAGGATTGGGGCGCTTGCGACAAGTGTGGAGGGCAGATGAAGCGATTCCGGAATGTCATCAGACCGCGGGGCTCCCAGTTGGCAGGGGCTGATAAGGACCATGATAGCCATGCGATCACATGGTAGTCAATAACGTGCCTGGTTGGAAGAGGTGTCATACAAGGAATACAAGGCGAGTGCTTCCACACCTGCCCGCACCAACCGAGTCTTGAACCGAGTCGAGTGCTTCCATGCTGCTGCGGGCAGGCTGCCCGCAGCGGCCGAGTGCTTCCACGCTGTTGCGGGCAGCCTGGCCAGCCTGCCCGCATCAACCGAGTCTTCAACCAAGTCGAGTGCTCGTTTTCAACCGAGTCGAGTGCTTCCATGCCGCTGCGGGAGGGCTGCCTGCACCACGAGTACTTCTGTTGCGGGCAGCCTGCACCAACCGAGTCTTAAACCGAGCCGAGTGCTTCCATGTCGC